GCTCCTATGCTGTCACCCCCCCCCCAGGGTCACGTTGAGGTCGTGACCCCGCTGACCCCTCACCTCTCTGTGCTTTTTGCAGAAGCTGCTGGGGAACTCTCTCCTGAAGCTGGAGGGAGACGATAGGCTGGACATAAACTGCACCCTCCCCCTCACCGATCAGGTACCGGCATGCATGACATTATATTAAATCACAATTATTGGAGCTTAGTGAAAACATCCGGTAAACATATTCTTCGTCTTGTTGCCTAAATAATAAAACTACTTTCTTTAAAGGCATTTTATCGTATTCATATTTAATCCACAGTAGCAGTTATTTAGAATGATGTTAATTTATGAAGGGACACGGAGCACAGAGCAGATGCTCGAGGCTCTCTGCCAAGGTCTGCAACATGCTGCTCCTGTTTGAAATGGCACCATGTTCACCGAAATAATTCTGCTCATGTTAATGATGTTTTCTTGCTGTGCTGCAGATAGTTATGGTGGGCTCTGAAGAGGGTCTGTATGCCCTGAATGTTATCAAGAACTCTCTAACTCACATCCCTGGCCTGGGATCAGTCTTTCAGATCCACATCATCAAAGAGCAGGAGAAACTGCTGATGATCGTTGGTGAGATGTTCAGCTTTGTTATCGACAAGAGATGAGAACTTTCTCCTGAGCAGCAACGATCTGAGTCTAGACGTTCAGTTCATTTCATTCGGGGAGTGTTGTTCATAAATCAAAAAGCCATTGAAAGTAATTGGCATAATTGAAGCTCATCATAAAGAAAGATTAAAAAACTGCCATCTAATATTTCTGGTGAGACTTGGAGATGTTTTTTCCCACGTGGACGGCGCTGGAACATCAGCTGCCGTGTGACGCCTGCCTGTGTGCGCTGCAGGGGACGAGCGGGCCTTGTGTCTGGTGGAGATTAAGCGAGTGAAGCAGTCTCTGGCCCAGTCGCACCTGCCCAGCCAGTCCGAACTGGCTCCTTACATCTTCGAGACGGTGAAGGGCTGCCATCTGTTTGCCGCGGGGAGAGTAGGTTTCTTCTGCTCCTCCTTGAAACCGGAGATAAAAGCTCCTGACTTTAAAAGCGCTTTCTAGGACTTGTGTGTGCTTAAGAAAGTGACGTGTGTGTTTCCTTTTTGTAGATCGACAACGGGCCTTGTATATGTGCAGCAATGCCCAACAAGATAACTATTCTGCGCTACAACGAAAATCTCAACAAATACTGCATTCGCAAGGCGAGTGGGATCTGTTCAGTGTGATCGGTGCAGCACATGAGAAGACCTGAAAGAGATTCGGGTCTGTTGTGGGACACATAGCATAGAGTTTAACATTGGGCCCTGGGAGAAGGTTCGCTCAACCCTCTCATTGCACTAGAAAGGGGCACGTACTATTAGCTCTTGTAGGTCCAATCCTAGTTAACTCATAAATAACTTGTTTTTCTATCATATCCAAAATCCACATTTCTATTTTTCGTGTGCTGTGTTCCAAAAGCCAAATTTATTCTAGATCATTCGTTATGGATTATTCATAACTGATCGTTGATGTGTGAATTAGAATCATTCTCTTGGAACAGCCATTCCTGCGACAACAAATAGATAATAAATGAAAAGTCCTTTGGCCGTCCAAGAGGTTTCTGAATAATAAATGTCCCTCGTCCTTCCATTCTTCGTCTCACAGGAGATTGAGACCTTGGAGCCCTGCAGCTGCATCCATCTGACCAGCTACAGCATCATCATCGGCACCAACAAGTTCTACGAGATCGAGATGAAGCAGTTCGTGCTCGAGGGTGAGAAGGACACGATCAGATATATCAGAACGTAGACGTAGATTTGGCTAAAAAATCAGAACATGCAAAAAAACAACTTTCTTTTCTGTTACAAATGTTACATGTATTAAATTATGACTTTGCCCTCATTTCAAGACTTGATTTCTTATATTGAACAAAAATAAGAACTACTGCACAGAGATATTTAGATTAGATTTAGATTCTCCTTTTATGATAAACCTGCTTTAAACACATATTCAACACAATGATGCAACAGCAGCGAATCCCAGGGTACAATTTAAGAGTAACTCGACTCAACATACTAGATGGATCATTTCATGCTCGCTTTGTCCGCTGCAGAGTTCCTGGACAAGAACGACGTGTCTCTCGTGTCGGCGGTGTTCGCGGCCTCGTCCCACAGTTTCCCCATCGCCATCATGCAGGTGGCCAGCAGCATGCAGAAGGAGGAATACCTGCTGTGTTTTCACGGTGTGTTTGAACCGCTCCACAAATACACCCCCAAAATCCAAGTCGTAGAATTATTGAACTTTTTCAAATATCTTTTAAGAGTTTGGAGTGTTTGTGGACACGTACGGACGGAGAAGCCGCACTGAGGACATTAAGTGGAGCCGTCTGCCTCTCTCCTTTGGTAAATACGTGTAACTTCTGCAGCTTTTCGATGCATCCACACAGCAGTGTGGGATCCCATTTTGACATTTGTCCCCTCCCGGGTGCAGCCTACAGAGAGCCCTACCTGTTTGTCACCTACATCAACTCTCTGGACGTCATCGAGGTCCAGGGACACGCTTCTTTGGGGTGAGACGGGTCGCTTTTCCTTTGACAAAGTTGGAAAGATTTCGTTTTCTCCTCACACCGCCGCGCGTGTGCTTGCAGGCCGACGGTGTTGGCTCACCTGGACATCCCCAACCCTCGCTACCTGGGGCCGGCCATCTCCTCCGGGGCCATTTACCTGGCCTCCTCCTACCAAAACAAACTGCGGGTCATCTGCTGCAAGGGAAGCCTGATCAGAGAAACCGGAGAGCTGCAGCGGACCGGCTCCAGCCGAGGGTCAGCGCCCTCACATTGTTTGAGCAACGAATGAGAGAGTGTGTGTGTGTGTGTGTGTGTGTGTGTGTGTGTGTGTGTGGGTGTGTGTGTGGGTGGATTAAAAACACTTGAACATCCACAAAACAATAACAACAAAACGAACAGGCCAACAGCGCCATCTGCTGTAAAAAGAACAAAAGTTAAATGTTCTTCTGCCGCTGCTCTCCGCTCTGTTCCTGCAGGAGTCCCAGTAAGCGAGGCCCCCCCACCTACAGCGAGCACATCACCAAGCGCTTGACCTCTGGCCCCGGCAGCCACGACGGCCTGCACCGGGAGCCCAGCACCCCGCACCGGTACCGGGAGGGCCGCACCGAGTTCCGACGGGACAAGTCTCCGGCCCGCCCGCTGGACAGGGAGAAGTCGCCGGGCCGAGTGCTGGACGGCCGCAGGGAGAGGTCACCCGGGCCCCGATTCGGGGACAGCGGGCGGCTTCACGCCGGCTCCGTCCGAACTTTATCTCGCCCCCGTCAACAAGGTGATTCATAGCACGTGACTGAGATTATATATATGTATATATCTCAACCACAGATAGGATATTATGGTATATTTCCACATACTATACCATGACTTGTATTGTTGTATCTTTTAATTATTTCCATGGATTAGACTTTTAAAATAATTTTGAATGGCCTACTAATTCTTTTATGGCATATTATACTGACAGTAGTCCCAAATAAAAGCCCTAAATACCCCTACTCAGTAAAAACTGCAGCATTAACATCAGCCTTATAACAAGTATCCTGCTAGATCATTTTATTTAAAGTTAAATGTATTTAGGGATGAACTGCTCTGACTTTGAAATGTCATTCAATTACCACAATCCTATAACTATAAATCGGATGGTATGAGTATAATAATAATATGAAAATGCAAATACTCTCCAAATGTATTCTGATTTCCACCATCCCTCTAGAAACGTTTAGGAACTTGCACATGTCGTACTTTGCAAGTGTCAGAACAGAAAGTTGAACTTGTTGTCCCCGTTGTTGTTGTTGTTATGTTGAAGGTGTGGGATCAGTCATCGGTGTGAATCCAGTTCCACGCTGCTCCTGACTGGAGGTTGAAGACAAACTACGGGGGGAAACTCGCGATTCCACCAAGCGAGTGCAAGCACACATACATGAACACAAGGTCCCATCGCTCAGGCTGCATGTCGCCCCACCACCACCACCCCCCCGATCCTCGTCCGACGACATATAAACCTGCACTGGGAAACATCTCCCGCGACAATCCCACAGTAGATCGGGGGGGGCGGGAGCCTTCGCTGGTCTACGGATCCAGATCATCGACTTCATGACACAAACTCAAAGTTGTAAATATTGCCGTCTTGAGTTTTTACAGAAAAAGGAAATAGTCGGCCGGTGACGCCACGTGTATATATTTTTTAAACGAGTTTTTAAAAGATGTTGCAGGGAGATTAATGTCGTTGGATACGAAATATATCAATATTTCATTAGTCTGGAGAAGTTGATGGTGATAAAGAGGTCGGAGGAGGCGAGACTTTGCACGCGCGGTTGGATTTGAACCGCCGTCAAAAGCTGATCACGGATCAGATCCTCTTGACTCAATGGCTTTTTAATATATAGCTTTTTTTTGACAGTCGTCGATGCCCGGCCACACTTTGTGAAACAATTATAAAGTATTGCTTGTGTTGTTTTGAAGCAAAGCTAAGATCAAGAGACGTGCAGCTCTGCCTCGGAGGCCGGACGTCCTGCAGTCGCTCTCAGTCCGCCGCCGCTGCTGCTGAATATGGTCCAACGTCCCGTTTCTGTGCAGTGATTTGAAGTCTAGTAACCGTCGGGGCGTCGCATTCTGGTATCGTTTCTTTAGAGCCAGGAAAACCACATCCATCCGTCACAACAGGGAGCATGACTAACTAACTTAGAGCAGCACTTTTGATCTTGATTCTCAGTTTTCCTTTTCTGTATTCACTTAAATTTGCATTCAATTAGTAGACGTTGATGTTAAGACAGTAACTTAAGATTTCCTTGATTTTTAAAGATGTATCCTGGTACATGCATTAAACATGATTGAAGTGTCTTTTTTAGTTGTGTGTGTGTGTGTTTTTAGATATTCCATCACGCTTCAGCTTTAATCAGTGAGAGCAGACATCAGGTGCTGCTAGCAGACAAAACAGTAGATTTATCTGGTTTATTTTTCCTTTAAACTCTACAACAACGTAATGCTCTTTAAAGTAAATCCAACAAAAACAAAATATTCAGACTGAACACTTGTTACAGGAAATGCTGTGTACAGCTACACACTCCTGACAGACGTGAGAAGGTTCAAAGTGCTCATCAAACAGAAGGAGGGGGGATTAAACAAAAGCACGAGTGATCCCTTTGAGAGACGCACACACACACACCAATGACTACCGGGCCGTCGCAGCGACGCCTCCGATGGAGCACGTCGACACGAGTGAAGATAAATGCAGACCGAGGGAAGTCCTTGGCAGGAAAAAAGAGAAGAAAAGAAAGCACAGCGAAGGATCGTACTGGTAATTGTGCGTTGCGATGACGACCCGTTTACCACGTGACCCGAGGGACGTACAAAAACCCAACCGCGACGCTCGTCACGACACGGAGAAACACGGCACACTTTCAGGTTCAGCTTTATTGTCGATGCACTCTGTGGCAGTGTCTTCTTAATGACATGTGCAAAAAAAAACAAAATAACTTGTATTTTAAGACAATTCACATTCATGGGTTGTTGAACAAGACGAGCTTGACGGCCCACATGCCTGTGATGGAAATGCTGAGTCAGGATTCATGCTGCCATCTGTCAAGGCTTTGGCTCTGGGGGACATTACGCATCTCATTATAGCCAAATTAAGATTCCATTTGATGATGATGGAATAAAAAGCCATCTTTAAATCACCATTGTGAAGTTCAATAAACTGAAACTCCTCAACCAGAATGTTTAGTTTTCTTTTGGGGACCAAAGGTTACGTTTCCTGCCCATTCAATGCAGTAGTACCTAGAAATGATGCCCAGGTGTTTTTGTAAATAGATACGATAAGCTCTGCTGACCTGACAAGCCGATGACGAAGAAAGGACAAAAGATTGGCAGCCTCAATAAGATCAATATTAAAATGAAAGTCTGCCACTGTGTGCGCTGTACCGGTTTGGATCTCCAGCTGACCGAGGGGGAGAAAAAAAAATAATGAATGAAAACAAAAGGCGATAAATGTGGAAAGTCACTCAGCTACTAGAAGCTCAGAAGGAATCTGTGTGTGTGTAAAAAGCAGAGGTAGTGTTTGTAGACGAGTCTGTATGGAGTTGGTTGTGGGGGGTGGGGGGGGATTTGTTTTGGACCACTGCTCTCTTAAGTGCATAGACTCCTCCTCTCTCTGCGGCTACAGACGCACTCGATCGGACACGGCCTCATCCGAGGTCACATGGTGCTGGATGACACCCCTGACTAAACCTCCTCCTTAAATGGAAACAAATCCTTCTTCTATTGGCTGATTTAAAACAGAAGCGAGGAGTGTCGCCGCAGCAACGGATCAAAACCATCTCTCGTGCCTCATCTCAACAAACACTGATTATCCTGCGGCATTTGAATTGTCTGGATTTTAAACAACAATTCACCAACACAACTTTAATAAATTAATGCATTTAAAAAGGGAAAACCACTGCAGCATCAGAACAGGACACCCTGCGTCACTATTTTAAAAAGAAAAAGGAAAAACACCTGCATCATCAACAGGTCGCAAAATATATCTTTTTTGTTTTGCAGTTGTAACATGAGAAAAAGAAATAAAAAAAGAAACTCTTTTGTGACTAATTAAGTGAGCCACTATTCAAGGATTCTATACATTTTTCTTAAATGCTATATAGGTATCTGAATATATTATTTTATTCACTTATCTTACAAAAGAATGTGTGTGTGCGTGCGAGGAGTTGCATTCGTTGAATGGGTGCCGGGCCGAGTGGGCGTCTCAGTGAAGCTTCTCGGACGCGTTTCATGTGGGAGCCCTTTCTGTTTTCACAGCGGTGATCACAGCAGAGGTCAAAGCCCCCCCGCTGCCTTCAATTGATTTTTTTAATTTTTTATATTACATTAACTCAAATGAGAATCTTTTTCTCGGTATTTAAACGTGGAAGTTAAACGCGTCACATTCCAACTGTGCAAGTGACTTCCACCGAGAGGCTGAAAAGTGAGTGAGTGTTCAGCTCCCAGTGCCTGCTGGGTAAAAAACAACAACATGAAACTAACGAGTGGGGGTCACACTCATGTGGGGTCACAACACATGAGGCCTCCTCAATAACATCAGCTGATGAGATGTTTTAAAGCCTTTCCTACACATCGCTGATAGTGCTGACGGTTCAAATGTGAATAACAAACTCTCCTCACTGTGAGAGAGGAAGAAGAAAGAAGTGCTTTAAAAAAAAAAAAAAACTGTCTCAGTTCACAGGATTTTAGAGGGTCAGTTCACCAAAATTCCAAAGTTGTAGACTTTCCAGTCATTTCTGGGTTTTGGACGAAAGAAATGATAAGAATATGTGGCTTTGGTCTCTTAAACAACATGGTGGCCATATTTCATTATATTGTGATATATTACATCCGATGACTTATTAAGAATTTGTTCAACAGATGCAGCTTATTTAATTGAGAACTGACTCCACGGTCGCAAAACCACCTCAAATGCAATTGGATTTACAGTTAGACGCCATTAGAGGTAAATATTGCAATTTGGGTGAACTGACGACATGTGTGAACATCAGCTATCGGGACATTTCTAAAAGTTTAGCGACTGTCTTTTGATTGCAGGGAGACCTTCGGTGTGGCTGCTGATCACACGACCTCCAGAGCAAAGAAGTAGTCCGAGCTTTGAGATGATGGTGCTTAAAGAGTCTGTGGAGAAGCCCGGATGGGCCAAAGCCCTACGGGGGGGGCTTCAGCGACACAGTTAGGAGACCCTCCCTCTGCCCAGCCGGCCCGAGGCCGCCGGAAGGTCCATTCTCACTCCTCTGGCCTCGCAGGGCCGTTCCGTCACGGCCACAAACCATCTGTGTGGCAAATGTGTGCATTAATCTCTCTCACTCACTCACTGACTCTCTCTCACACACACACACACACACACACACACACACACACACACACACACACACACAGACACCACCTGCGTGCACACCCAACTTTCAGAGCACTCGGCATCTCACCAACACGTCATTCAGCTCCTCAGCCACGTCACCTTCCGTATATACACATTATATTCCATCTTTGCGGCACACGCACACACACACACGCACACACACACACACACGCGCACACACACACACATAAAGTACGTGGGACATTCTGTGTAGCTCCTGTGCGATTCTTCAGCAGGGCGCATCCATCCATCCTGCTGTGAGGCTCAGTCGGAGCTGGTGGTGATGGGTTTCTCCAGCTCCAGGGGGGCGGGGCTTAGCTTGAGGCTACCGTAGCAGGTCTTACAGACGCGGCTGGGCTCAAACAGCTGCTGGCTCGGCACCGGGAGCTTCTGGTCGCAACAGCTGGCACAGAACACGTTACCGCAGTTCCTGCAGAGAAGCACAGACGGGTCACTGCTGGACCCCCGGACGGCCTCTCCACACCCACAGTCGGCACCATCAGATTTGCACTCGGCCCTGTTCTTTGTAGGCGGAAAACAGAGTTGGCGCCATTCGTCGAACGTTTGAAACCAGTTTCAAGATTTCTAGTGATTGAAAAGGTGGTTTAAGGTTTGTGTTGAGTTATTGACACTGCAAACGCAATGATCGTTATCTGGATTCTTTTACCACACTTCATAAAGTGACTCATTTATTTCCAGATATTTCCTTTCCTTTGAGGGACCAGATAAAAAAAAAAGTGATTAATTATAACATTTTGTATTTTAACAGAAACCCAGAAGTGCAAATTGTTGAGTACATTTGGATTCAAACAAATAGTGATTAATTATCATTAGTTTCATGAACTCATTTAACTTGAAGAGAAATCTTTTTAGGAGGTTAATTTCCTTCTTGCTTCACGCAATATTCCAAAAGTAAAATGTTTGTTGTTTTTGTCCTTTATGATCGCAATGGGAGAGGAGAGGATCCCACTAATCCCGTCTCCTGTTCCACTCCGCGGTGATGCCTCACTACACGCCGGCTAAGCAGAAGGGCTCAAACACTCAGTGGTGCTAACTGGATAATTCAGCCCATTAAAAAACGTCACACTGGAGGTTTCAGATGCCCATGCCCAGAATTAGATGTCAGGCCATGCGCGCACACACACACAGACACACACACACAGACACACACACAGTGGCCCTCTTCTATCTGCCTGTACTCACCCTAAGCAAAAACTCTAATTAGAGTTAAAAAAACGAAAACAAATTCACTGTGAGTCTGCTAAGAGTCGTGCTGCTTGGAGGTGAGGTGCAGACGGACGCCATGTTGTGTGCTGAGGGTGGGGTGGGGTGGGGCGGGATGCTGATGCGCCGCTATGGAAGGAGGAGTGTTGAGGTTGAGGAAGTCCTGGAATAACAATCAGCCCCTTGACCAATCACAGCCCTCCCTCCCACTGACGGCACCTTGCTCCCGCACAGCCAATTGAAAATCGCTGAATTTGAGGACACATTGGCTCAGCAGGACGCACACTCAAGTCAATACATCTCAGACAGGAAGGAGACATTTCCCTAAAAAGCTTTTGACAACTACAACAGAATGAAGGGGGGGGCCAAATGCAACACGTGAGGAGGGGAGGGAGCAGCGGGGAGGGGCGGGATTAGGATGAGGAAGGTGCAGAGATGCCAGGTTAAAAGGGTGGGGGGGGGTTGGCGGAGGGGACAGGGGATCTCACCAGACCTCCTGGACAGGCTCCCTGCCACTGTAGAGAGGGGCAGACAATGGATAAGAACTACCTCAGCAGTGGAGACACTTCACACGCTGTGCTGAAGATGTGTGTGACAAAGTTGAGGGGGGAGGGAGTTAAAAATCTACTAAATCTAAGAAGGCTACAATTGTAGGGCAATCCAGGGCTGAAATATGATGGTCTTTTCACCCATTATTACATTAGAGATAATTGAACACAGCTTTGTCTGCAGTCCAGACCACACTGGATGAGCAACTAGAACTCCAAAGTAATCCTTGATTATTGGTGACCTCCAACAGTCGGATCAGCAGTGGTGGAAAAAGAAGGACTTTGTTACAGCCGACCTCCGATATTGCTCAAGTTGCTCAGTTGGCATCACCATGATGTCATCTGGGTCATCTCTGGTTGGGCTTAAGTCAATTTACAATAGAAAAGCCGCAAGTGCAGGCGTGGAGTTTGAAAGCTGCGGATGTTTACCAGACAGGAAGTTATGAGGAATGTAGGATTCAGCAGTTTTGGACTCATAGTAGGGCCCTAGAAGTCAGAATATCTCGGCCTCTGCTGCATAAATTCTGACCATTTCTTAAGTTTGTCTTTAAATAAAGAAAATAAGGGACACACTTTGAATTAAAATTTTTAGTTTTAGTTTTAGTTTAGTTTTAGTGGACATTTAAAACATATTAAGGACAGGTTTGATTGTCTTAAGCATGATTGCAGTAATAAGTCAAGAGCAGGCTGAAAAAAATAGAGAAATCTGCAAGAAAATTAATATTACTAAGAATTTGCAACACAGTAATCGGCAGTTCGATTTTGTGTTCTGGTCTGCAGAAAAGCAAGCCACAAGTCTGTGTAGAGGAAGTCAAATCCATCCGCAAAAAGATCACTTAGGATCAAACGCAAGAGTCATTAAACTGCAGAGTGAACTCAAAGCTGCCTCGGCTTAAGTCTGGCTGAATCAGGACACATAAAGTCGGTCTGAACAGAAGAGGGGCGGGCGTAAACAGAGTGAACATCTCTTTAAGCCTCATCGAGACAGACGGCAGAGGTCAATGACAGAGGTGGTGACTGAAGGTCTGAGCTTCTGAAGCTTGGCAACCCTCAGTACATACCTGCAGTGATGCTTCCTGGCGACAAGCCAGAACCTGCTCTCACAGCCGTAACACTGGGCCGCCAAGTGGTCGGGGTACCAGCGGGTCACCTGCAATGTACAGACTAATCTCAGTTCACGACTCGCCTCCACGGAGCAGCTCGCCAACTGGTAACCGCCACAGACTGTCCAGGCGTGCGAGGAGAGTCCCTAGAATGACGAGGGCCCGGCTGCTCACCTCAGTGTCCTGCTTGTCCACCTGCTCCCAGCTGGTCTCGGAGAAAAGCTCCGTGCTGCAGCGCGACAGACAGTTGGGGTCCAGGTTGCACTCGGAGTCCGTCGACAAGGTCTGCAGGGAGGAAGAGACGGACAATCAGAAGGAGTGCCGGGAGTTCACCGCGCTCACGTAACAAGCTAAACGTGGCCGTCCAGGAGGCAGACGGATCAGCTGGTTGGTCGGGTTCCTGTCTTACCGCTTCGTCTCCCGTGTCTCCGTTGGTCCTGTGGAAGCCGGTGTGCTGCTGGTTCTCCAGGCGGCTCCACAGCTCCTGCACCTGCTTCTTCAGATTCTCCACCTCCATCTGGTGTCCCGCCTCGATCTGCCTCAGCCTCTGCTGGATGACGTCTGTGTGCAGCGTCAGCCCGTCGTCATCGAGGTGGCTGCGGGACGGCTGCTCGGGGCTGATGGCGGCCCGGCCCAGCAAGGCGTGGCACCAGCGGTGCTGGGAGCAGTTCCCACGTGGATGCAGGATCAGGGAGTTGCAGCTCGCTAAGGACACCTGTCGACTCAGGGAGACCCTCTCCCCGTTCACTTTGGTCCAGTGGTGTCCTCCGCAGGGCTCCCCGTCGGAGCTCTCGCTGTCGCAGAGCCCGTCCCTGCTGAGGTCAGCACTCACAGATTGAAAGGCACTGGCGGAGGGTCGCCTGGTGGCCCCGTTTAAAGTTCTGATGAAGCCGAGCTCGCCTGCCTCCAGGCCTTTCTCCTTCCTGGGGCAGGGCGGCGGATCGCTGCAGGGCTGGCAAGCCGGGCAAGCCGGGCAAGCCGGGCAAACGGGCGGCTGTGCCGGCGGCTCCGTTATGCCGCAGACCTCTTCGGTTAATGTCTCCGTGGAGCTTTCCATCAGGGAGGGCCTCTTGTCCAACTGCTCCACCGCCCCGGAGACGGCATGGTCGGGTTCAGAGGCCGGGCATGTCTCCTCATCAGCGTCTGGCTCCTCAGGCGACCTGTCGACGAAGCCGTTAGTTAGAGTTCTGTGGGCCGCGGGCTCGTCTGGCTCATCTGAGCGGGAGTCACAGGGTCGGAGCTCCTCGTGTACAGAAGAGTTCTGCTGCTCCAGATCCTCGGGGGCCTGGGTGACCTCAGCTGCTCGTTGATCCGGCTCGCCGGGCATCTGTGCGGGCAGAGGGGGAGACGCAGCGTCCTCCTCAGCCTCCACTCCTCCATTTAGCGAATGGTGACCATTAGCGATGGCTTCTCTCTGCGCGTCAGTCCCGTTGACCTCAGCACACGGACTGTCCTCTTCACCTTTTGCTACTTTCTCTGACTCTGCGTCGACTGTGTCAGTGACACGTGTGGCAGCCGCACTTGCCTCTCTCTGAACAGCTGCTGCCGCCTCCTCCTTTGTGGCTTCCTTAAGGATGTTCTCCATTTGGCCCTCTGCCACGGCCACCACCACAGAGAGATCCGCCTCCTCCGCTTCCTGACCTCCAGCTGCTGTGCTCACAGAGGCGTCTTGAGCGAGCTCGGCGTGGGGGCCCCGGGGCTGCGGGCTCTCTTCCAGTTCGAGGTCCACTCCACCTGGGTAAGGTCCCACTCCGTTAGGCCGCGCCTCCTGATCCGGGTTCCCCCCTCCCTCGGGGCCCACTGCCATGTTGAGCTCCAGGGAGCGCCGGTGGTCTTGCCACTTCTCATTGAGGCTCGGGTCGCTGGAGCGGCGGTTCGGAGCCAGAGAGCTTCCCAGCTCACATGCACTGGGCAAGTTCTCGAACGAGCGAGTCTTTGGACGTCTAAAGGGCGAACAAAAGAAGAACCATGTTCAGGAAACAGCATTTCATTAAAAAAAAATTGTCTGTTGAACACTGTGATGATGATCTGCTGCTAACAAATGCAGCACAAAAATAAAGAGAAGCATTTAGCCCCCGTCTCCATGACAGAACTATCCATCATAAACTATGCGGGTATTGATGAAACAACTTCCTGCTGCACTTCCTTTGTGGCATGATTGTCAAGAGACGCATGATAAGCACGGCATTAATGTGCATCTGTGGCTGCGATTTGACAAGACCGGCCCGCTCGGCTGAGGGAGTCCTCGATCTCGGTTTATCTTACATGGGGGAGGAAGAGAAGGGGGCGGCAGGCTCACCTGCCCAGGGGCGCATCCTCGGGGTTGCCCCCCGGAACAGGGTAGGGGGCGCATGAGTCATCCGACGGGGTAGTGGGGGAGGAGCTGGGCAGGTATACCGCTGTCCACAGCATCAGGTTGCGTACGTGACACACTGGGTGGAGAACCTGCAATAACAGCTGCAAATTAGCTCGCTGTGATCAGAAGAAGGGAAATGACCAATAATGGCACCAAAGTAATCTGAAAGAGAAATAATGTGACCAAACCAACTAAAAACAAAAACCTATGTAGATATTTACACAAACATTTAAATGCAAAGGGGATTGTGAGATCAGATCTTCCCCTCATGGTAAGAGACTTTTATGGTTATGAAACCCAAACACACAAAAACAAAGGCACACAAAAAATAAAATCTCCCAGTCTAAAACATTTAGTAAATGTTATGCATAGCTCTGGGGCGCATTTTTCCCACAATGCATTATACAACCTTGCTGTCTGAACCCTCGGGATTTGGGAACGTAGGCCTTGAGACTTTGACACTTTGTTTTTGTTTTTCATTCCACCGATACATCCCCTTTAAAGAACTAGCACGATCCTCTTCCTAGAGGACTTAAGGCTCGATCCTGGGACAGGGACAGACAGAGGACAGACAGGGACGGAACGAGGACGTACTATCTCGGAGTGCGAAGAGTACAGCATGTTCCTCAGCGTGCGGTTGGCCGGCCTCAGCAGTGACCAGACGGAGCAGGTGCGCTCCTGAACGTGGCGGTCTTCCCTCTCCTTGCCGCTGTTAAACAGGAAGGTGCCGAACAGACAGGAGTAGGTGTGCTGCACCAGTTTCACCTGCGCACACACACACACACACACAAAACGACATGTAGAGGCTTCCACACACACTTCAGTTATCATAGTAAGAGCAAAGGTTTCTGACTATTTTTTTTTTCAGGGATCTCTCGGACACCAAACCTGTACGCACCAGGAAGGCCTCGTTGAACTCAAAGGAGCACGGAAACTGCCTCTGCAGCTGGTGGACGCAGTCCAGCCACTGCAGGAAGACGGGGCAGCGCTCGTTCAGGTCCTCAGAGTTTTCTCCGTGGCCGCAACGGTCGCCGAATTTGTGGCCAAAGTCAAGCCAATCGGTCTCCACCAAAACCTGGAAGCCCTACATACATAGCGTAGCGCTTTGTCAATTACACTGACAGTATTCTTTTATGAGGCTGATATAGACACATGGGAACATACCGCTTAAATTAAGTTAGAAAGTCTTCTGTACCTCTATGGTGCGGTAGTAAGGGTCCAGCAGCAGCTTGGACAAAGCCACGATCTGAGGAGTGCGGTCCCAGCCGTCGGAGCAGTGCACCAGTACGGGCCGGTGGTCTCTGTCCACGGCGTTGACCACGAGCAGCGCCGCCTTCAGCAGCAGAGACAGGTGCTGCAGCCACTTGGTGCTCTCCAGTGCAGAAAGCCAGCTGCAGGCAGGCAGATAACAAAAAAAGCAAACACATCAGGGGACATGAAATGCCTCAGCCGCTCAGTGGCAGCACAAGTACATAGCGTGGACTAGTGCCACATACCGCCGCATTTATAGCTTCAGCTAGTTAGCAGAGCAGTCAACAATGTCTTTGTATAACTACGAGCATAAGCATATTAGGTGTATTTTCTTAGCGTTTTTTTATCTTAAAAGAAAAGGTAAAATTACCCTATATTGTCCTGATGCAAGCCTGTTTTTAAATACCTCATAACTAGCATTATTTTGTTTATCTGCAATAACACTTTTTGACCACTTGGGGGAAGCAGAAACAAGCTGTGAACAAACAACATATCCAGACCTTTTAAGTATATGGCTGGATTTGAATTGTCAAGCTCTGATAAAGCTACTGTCAACGTCCTGCGCAGCACCAAACGACGGAAGACCGGAGTGCGACATGCAAACACGTTGACCTTCCATTGGAAGTAAATGTTTCAGTTGCCTCGTCTTATCTGGGTCATTATCCTAAGCATTTTGTATGGTTTATTCTGCTCTATAAACAGAGCCTCTGTGTAAAAGACAGACAAGCCTGTGACTGATCACAGACAGGCCGGGTACAGCCCAAGATACCAAATGAATGTATCTCAACACGGCGGAGGGTAAATGGAGCGACCCGGCTCGGGATATTCCAGTTCTAATGAATGGGTGGATGCTTTGTTAATTATTTTTGTGTTGCATAAACCGCATTAGGTTGCTAAAATACACTATAAGTAATAATAGAATAAAGAAAGGCTGGATTAGGATCAACAGTTGGGAGGATTTTTGTCTGTTTTTGTCCCGTGATTGGATATCCTAATCACTTTCAACAACGTTCTCTTAAGCCAGAGTGATTCAATTACATCACTGTAGCATCGAGTCTGGGAGGGCAGGCAGAAAGAGATCCTGCACTTGGGCTTGGGCCGGGCTTTCTAAATCATGCACAGATGTACGGCCAAGGCCAAGGCCAGGTGTTCTTATTAGCTATTGAGTTTTGAGCCTGCAGACTACGGGATATCAGGGGCCAACGTACTTGGCTGGATCGGGCATCTGAGTGCAGAGGAAACGCAGAGACTGGAAACTCTTGCGGATGGAGTGGATGTTGGCCATCCCCATGAACACCACCTCACAGTTGGGATAGTACTCTGGAGCAGAAGGAAAACAAGGGTTAAAAAGAAAACTAAAGCTAGCGGAGCTTTTAATTTGAGCACACAGAACAATCACATTTGTTGTGAACTGAGCTCCTAAATCCACAGCATCCATTGACCTACTTCTGCCTGTAGGAGACCTACCCGGGCATTCGCAGCCTCCGCCTTTGGCCCGGTTGGCCACGGCAGCAGCGTAGGACCTGGCGTCCAGGATCAGTAGCTTGTGCGGCTGGGTCAAAGTCTCCACCTCCGAGCTGTTGGTCATGGAGGATTCTGATGTGGACATCAAACAAAGCAGAATGATCTCTCAGTGCGCGTCATATGAACGCGGGACTTCAACATCACCATCAAGAAGTCCAGAAGACATAAACAAGTTTCATCCAGACGTCCATCAGAATAAACAGTGAGCGCGAGACAAGCCCCGACGGGACAAATTGCGCAACGACATCCGCTGTCGAGGGAGTGGTAGGCGTGTCGTCAGCCGCAAGAGCGTGTTAGTACTTAACTTCAGCCAACGGGCGGCTGAGTGAAGCCGACTTACCAAAGTCTGTGTCGGGCAGGTCCGTGCCGTTGGTGTAGCCGCCGTTGGAAAGGTGTTTGCGGGCGCTGCTGTCCGTGGCGCAGGCCTTGGCGATGGACTGGACCAGGTGCTCGTCATCAGCGTTCCTCCATCCCCACCAGCTGACCTCTGGCTGACCGCAGCGGGCGATCACCGCTCCAGTGGTCTGGTGCCTGGGATGTCGACAGGGGCGACGTTAGCCAAAACACGAGATAAATGAAAAGAAAAGACTATAATGGTTTATTTCATCTGGGATCCATTTCATATTTATCTTGGGTGCTGTGACATAGAAAGTTCGCTATTTCTGGTTTGAGTCATTTTTACAGAAACAAAAAACAGAGGTTGTGGAGCCTCTGTTGGAACTTGAGATAATTATAAATTAGTTATTAGCTCTATGCTTTGGGTTTCCAAACAAAAGTAACCTCTTTCCACACTGAAACTGGTGCAAAGCCATGAAGATGTTAACAGGTTTGACCTTCAACCTCGATTCTAACATACCGACCTATAAACCACAGCAGGAAACCTCTTCCAGGAGCGGAAGGCCGCCACATTTTCCAGCTCCTTGTCAGTGATCCAGGCGGGCACCAACAGCTGCTGAGGGTAGCTGGGGCAGAGCCTGGCAGAGCAGAGGGACAGAGCGGTGGTTTAACAAAGAAAAAGTGGGCGCACCAAAGGGCTGTGATGGCCCAACTAAAACCTCCGTCTACAGACACCTAATCCCGGGCCGGGCTCCCATCAGCCCAGGGTGCAGCACAGTAACACAAACACCCACTGTCGAACACACACACACACACACACACACAATGACTTGTGTTGTTTGCCAACGAAAGCAAAGAGCGGATTTGTCCTCCAGCTGGGAGCGGTGGGAAATGAAAACAGCGGCAGGTATCCTGTGTGAGAGCTGCCATCACCTGAACTTGCTGTTGATGTCAGATATCCTCCAGGCGTTTTGTGTGTCAAAGCCCATCCTCTCCACCTCGTTCTTGAACCAGGAGGTCACGTGTTCCCCTACAGAGAGCAGAGATGTCTGATAAGACCGGAGGCGAGCAGAGGTTCTACGGAGGTTTTGTGCGAGGACACAGCGGGTGGGTGGCAGGGGGGGGTTACCTGGTCTGCACAGCTCGCTGTGCTGCTCCTTCTCGCCAGCGTACACCCCCATGCACCAGGCGTGGAAGGCGAAGGAGAAGAGGTCCTCCAGGCGAGAGGGAGGGCGCACAACAGCGTTCAGGCGCTTCAACCATTCCTGACACTGCTCAAAGGTGGAGAACTGACACCTGTGGATCCAACCCAAAAGACAACAGTACACCTTGATACAAAATTCTATTGTAGTTCATTTAACATTGATATCTACTTCTTAAATGGGAACGTAGGCGGTAGCTGTACAAAATGTATGGTATTACAATCACATGAAGCATTGTTATTCATACTCATTGTGTTACTCAAACGGTAAAACCCTAAGCCAGTCGACGGACCTTTCAGCGCGCTTCTGAGCGATTCGGTCATTCTGTCAGAGTTCACAACAAACCTCATTGTGACAGCTGCTCTGTTGGTTTTGCGTAATTCTGGGCTCATCTTGTTCAAACATACAGTTTATGGCTGTAGGATTCCTCCGTTCCCTTTGTAGTGCGTGCCCTGTTTAAGTGGTAACCATAGCAACCTACGCCTCACAAATTCCTGCGTTCAGCTAATTGTAGCATCAATACCATCCTGTGTGTGGACTTCTGTGAGAAAAGTCAAAACACAGGTGGTTTTTGTTCTTTGGCATTTTCAGTTCAAAAGTTCAAAAACTTTGCAATGAACGTCACACAGACGTCCTTCGTCTTGGGAGAAACCATTATGCTTCTTCAAGTCTCGTTCAGCATTAACAAAGAGGTGGTGATAGTAGGAAGGGGAGTAGGTTTCAGGATGGATTCGCTGGTCGTACCTGACGACTTTACAGTCCTTACAGGTGACATGAAGCTGGAACATGTCCCGACACTCCACGTTCTCGATGAGCTGAAGAGGAACCTGCAGAGAAAGTAAGAGCGGGAACATCAGCTCTACACCCGCTCCAACTGTGATGGTGACAAGAAATGGCATAACTTAATACATTGGGGTTTTCCCATTACATTTTTAGACCACGTTTATGGACTATTTATGGACCCAATATCTTTTTATAGTTTTTACATTTTTTGACCATACAGTATTTAGTATTCAAAATTAAAAGAATTGTCAAAAAATGTAATGTAATAAGTAAAAGTATGAAAAATATATCAGTCCAAAAATGTAAAAAAAAAAGAAAGAAAAAGAAAAAACGTCGAGAAATATGGATAAAAGGAAAGTAAAAAAAAAAAAAGATTATGGGAAAAATAAATTTGAAAGAAATTCAAATGATATTTTCCCGGATAATGTTATGAATCTAAAGCAAAAAATATTTAGTCAAATGTCATTGACTAAGAAAAGTCACAAAATTGTACCCAAACGCATGCAGTCAGTACAAGTAGTGTGGCAGACTGCAGCTGACAATCCATTTAGTAGATTAGTATTGGTCAACAATGAAACTCATTGAGGCAAATAATCGACGCCTCTGCTGCAACCACTTCTAATTAAAATATTAAATTGTATGAGGAAAAAAAAAAAAACTTTCAGCCACACGCTGCTGCAAATAATCACACAAACAACTTGATCTGGGGCATTTTCATTAATTATTCACGTCGCATCCCCCCCAGCTCTGTTAATACACATTATCTTCTTAACTTTCAGTGTTGGAGCACAGACACACTCAACACTTGATGCAGAAGAGGTTGCATCAGTATTTCCCGTTTTCCTGGAGCCTTATCGTTAATAGGCAAATATCATCCAAAGTACAAAACTGTCATGTGCTTATGACTTAAGAGCCTACTTTGAATACTGCAGGGAAATACCTATGCTGCCTTTCACTAAGCTCTGTTAATTAGCAAAGGGAAGTGTTCAGTTGGGCTTCATGAAAAGTGGCTACAGCTGTTCACACACAGTCGACAGCCATGCACCATCAACAGCCAGTCAAGTAGCCACTCAATCGCCCGGACTGGCACTCTGACACATACTTTTGCACCTGGTGTTAAACAGGACGGAGGAACGGGATTCTAACGGGGCAGCCCCACACAAAGTAAAACACACAAGCCAACCACTCCACGGCGTGCAGCTCCCCCGAGTACTTACTGACACCTCACAACAACAACAACTCTATCCAAAGCAAAACAGAGAGAGGTAGAATGTAAGTAGTGCACGTTGACTTGTGACTATCTTCAGTCAGGATGTACACGCATCCTGCTGCCACAACTCAATGCCTGCCCTCTAAAATCGACGTCCCCGATCTGGCTGCTATCAAAATTCCTCGGCTGCTTGTTAACAGCCTCTCGCTCCCTCGCAGCACCTCCCGCTCCCGCATGCGTGATGCCTCGTCGGCCCGTCCGAATCGGTGTGAAGAGAACGTCGGCTCATCTGATGTGAGCGCACAGAGGCTGTGGGAGAGCCAACAACCGGGGGCTTGTTAGGGTCCAATTAAGCATGACGGGCGGCCGAAAGGAAACAGACGGACCGATGCAACCATCAGGACCACTGAAGAAGTCCCATACAGACGAAGGCTCGACGTATCATTGTAGTTAGATGGATGGGTTTGAGGATATGCCAAGATGTCTCTTTTTCTTTAAACTGCGTGTAATGACAGAAAAAATAAGCAGGATATAGGTGATGGCCACGCATGCCGCAGCTCTCAGTAGGGCTCTAGTGCTCATATTATACCCGTGTTCTGATTCCAACAGAAATGAAAAATGGTTTTGATTTCTTACCTGAAGTGATGTAAACAAAAGAATCCGATGTTACACCCAAAACGGCTGTACACAAACTTGGCTCCAATGAAATAGACAAAGGGCGCTTGCCCCAATCAGGGTGAAATTATTGTTTGTGTTCTATTTAGTCTGGTTTCGGCTTCACAGTGCACAAATTACAGCAGACCAAATTAAAATTGCCAGGCACAAGCGTTTTCTCCCCCCTGTGACTCGGCACACTCCTCCAGGTCAACCTGAATGCCTCTGTAGACATCACTATCTTTCAGGACTTTATCACACGTGCACTTCATGCAACTGGGTCGGATTGTGGCTGCATCAAACCCAGTTAGTATTCTATTAAAAACAGACAAAATGCTGATTTGTGAAAGTTTCCTAACAACGGCCCAAATGTTGTAGTTTAAATCCAGGGCACTTATGGCAAATGTTTTGATACTTTACTTCTAAAGATATATTGTACAGGTTTAATTTACATTACTATTACATCTGTACTTTTCCTCATGGCCATCGAATCCCAAAAAAAAGACTCTTCCTGAAGACCGAAAATCCTTAAAAACTGGAAACAAACGTATCCTTTCATTAAGCAGATTGAAGGGCGGCATAGAGGCACGGTGGTGTGTGGTTAGCACTGTCGCCTCACAGGAAAAATAAGGCCCTGGGCTCTAAAGCACCCAGCGGTCCCTCTGTGTGGAGTTTGCATGTCGGTCTGGGGCCTGCGTGGGTTCTCTGCGGGTCCCCCGTCTTCCTCCCACAGTCCAAAGACACGCTCTGGGGGTTCGGTTAACTGCCGACTCTAAATTGTTGAATTCTTTTAGGATAAGGGGGGGAAGATGACAGACCGACTGAGATCGGGCTCGTAGCTTTTAGCAATCGCTGAGCCCCAGATCGTGTGAGCTGTTGAGTATCGACAGCTGCAAGTGGAACAAGCAAACCGTACCAGCCGTATTCAGTGTGATGAAGGCAATGTAATTAATCGCTTTAGAACAACACAGCAGATACTTAAGAGGATATTTTCGATGCTGCTTGTGTTTTTTCTGGGGAATTGTTGACAAAAAGAACAAATTAGAATATATCGCCACACGTATCCCTTACTGGTGTAAGAAATAAGTTTCACTCATTTTCAGATGGTACGTTTTGAAGGAAGGAAGCGATCTTAGCTCATGATTTGCCGTTGCACAACTTTGCTGCTCTCGCACGTCAGAGGCAGAGCAGCTTGTGATCCGAACATGAAATGTGCTTTTCCTCAGACGTTTAGGAGGGAGATTTATTGGTCAAAGGCAAATAAATAAATGTATTATATTTATTCGTTAGTTATGTTTAAATGTGGTTTTCCACTAAGTTGTAATAACCCAGTTTTCTAAATCTAGCAAAAAGTTGAATAACAGATCAGCAGTGACTGATGAGGAAGTTTCCTTAGAAACCGGCAACATTGGGCAACAAGGCCAGTCTCTCTCCTTCTAAACATGGTGAAACGGAGACGGAGAGAAAGGAAGAGAAGGCGTGACTGTTATGAATCCCCTGTGGAAACGCTGCAACCACGGCAACGGCAAGTGCGGAGAGAAAGCCGAGCGGGCAGGCGAGTGTGAAAACAGAGGTGATGAGGAGTCACGCGGCATGTGCTGCCAGTGCAGATCAGCTTTGAATGGCCCGGTCACCCCGCCGCCGGCACAATGGCCCCGACTCTGTCCATTCACAAAGCATTAACGACCCCCCCCCCCCCCTCATCGAGTAGAGACAAAGTACTTCGTTCTTCAGTTATTTTGAGCTGCGCGAGAGACGTTCTCTCATCGGGTCCGACCTTGAAGCACATCGCTCACTTTTCAAAAGTGAACTTACGTTGACGACGGACTCTTTGAACTTGATGTGTAGGCGGTAGTTGGATATTGCGATGATGGCATCCTCTGCTCGCCCCACGTACGCTGTGAACTCGCCATGCAGCTCAGGAAAGGGCACCTAGGAACAGCGGGAGAGAAGAAATGTCAGACAAAATGCAGAGTCCCACAGATCACAGAGCTGTGACACAGCAGATTGTTTGACTGGATATGGCCTTTGTGACAATTTCGTAAGTCGTATTGACCTAGTTTTAAAACATCCGTCGAGCAAAGTCAGCTTTTCACTCCTGCAGTTAAATCTATGGCTTTTACAGTACAGAATGTACCCGTTTAACACAGCGAGAACTTTTTCCATTACAAACTAGTGAACTGTTTTACAGAACCCAGCAGCTTTTCTTTAACAAAAAAAAAAAAAAAAAAGGAGGGGGCCTCATGACCATTCAGACCATTCAAAAACATTAGCGCATGCAGTACTGTGCGACAGACATAAAAATAACTTTGTTTTTATTTTGGGATTACGCCGCTTCAGATGTCACTTGACTTTTGAGACTTTGCCTCTGACACTGGTCAAACTGAAAGTGAGCTTAAGTCACATGTTGCCGCAGTGATTATGTAACTAATTAGCGACAGGAGTGATTCACACGCACATAAGCCCACGGCTCTCAGGTTTACGGGGCTTTTTTCTTTCTTTACAGCACAAGAGAAGAGGCCACTTTCCCACCTGCATGTTTTCTTCCTCTAGAACGGGGGACTTCTTGGGGAAGATCTGATTGGCCTGGATGCACACCAAGCTCTGCTGCCCCTCCTCCTCCTGCAGGGGAAAACTATTTACTGAACTGGTATCAACTTTAACAACCTCAACTTGCTTTCTGTCATCATTTTAGATTTATTTTTCTTTAGTTTAAACAAGGCTTTCAAAACATTGGTCCAGGGAAGGCTGGCTGAGTACTTGTTTATCTCCCTCCTCCATGCACACGGACACAAGCGCTCACAGCTCGACAAACCGAGCCGCACTACAGGAACTGTTAGGGCAGTGAAACCTTAGCCAGTGAGACATCTTAGCGGTCCTTTTGTGGGGAAACAAAGTGCTACTTCTGTACTTTGCCTACATTCTCACAGCTTTGAATGATTGACTGATTGACTGATTGGCGTTTTAATGTGTCGCAACTGTTGTTGTCACACAGACTTGATTTAAAGGCATCTTCTTGCATTCAGGCTGCTTCGCATGGATGTTTTCTCCTTCCCAACCACACTGTAATGTGCAACCCAGGCTAATTTACTGTAATCAGCCCTTGTGCAACACGGCACGGTATAACAGATGCCAGAGCTGCTCTAAAAGAAGACAGAAAAAGACGTGGTCATTCATTTACACAAGACCCTGAAAAGCCTAAATCAAATTTCCGGTTGAAAAAAATGTGGTATTTTAGCATTTTATTTAAGTCTTTCATGGTGGCCAAATGTTAGAGGGGACAGAAGTGTTATGCAACACATTACACAGAGGGTGCCAATCAATGGGGAATGCGAGGCAGGGATATACAAGCAGAGTCAGGGATTTATCTTCAAAGGCAAACCGGTGGGGGAAAAAAAAAAATGGCCTCGCGCTGACAGACATCAACACAAATGTGTGGGCTGTTGGGTCCGGAGCAGAGTTGAGTCCAAACGTTGTGTAACGAAAGATTATGGTGGTCAAAAGAGATGGAAGATAACCGACAGCGGCAGCACATCCGCACCGCGGGTGCTGACTCAGCACGGGGCAGGGCTGATACACGGAGCGGTCACGCCTGGAGGAGCAGCCCGCCGAGGCCGGCCGGGGGGCAGCCGCCAGCACAGCAGTACGCCACGAACACAGACACACACACACACGCGCGCGCGCACACACGCACGCACGGTCACACACGCGGTTTAACGGGCAATGCGTCCGACTTGGTGGTTATGTCATGATGCGACGGCACAACAGTGAAAGCTGCCCTGCTTAGACAGCAGCCTTGAAGGACCTTTGACACCGTTGCGGCTGATTTGTCTGCCTGCTGGTAAACAGAGCTGATTGAAAGCGAAAGAATCAATGGAGAGTTTCCGATTCTGCAGAATGCACCCGGGCCACAGAACACGCGGCAGTCACCGTCCGGAACATGTATAAAACCAGGGTACTTTACCATGGCCCCTGTGAAGGAGTGCGGGTCACCCGACGAGGAGATCCCGCCTGGACCAGTCTGTACAGGAAGAACACAGAGTGATGAGAGGCAAAGATGTAAATGATATATGGGGACCATAATGAAGGCCATAATATTATATATGGTGTGATCCAAATTTAAACTCAAGATGCCTGTGTTAAAATTAATTTGTAAGTAAAACAATACATTCATTTCGGCCCCTGAAAGCCAGAAATGAGCCGTGTTGCAGCCATAGGCACTGAAATCATCACTGTAATATATGGAATAACATCTATAGAAAATGAAGTCATGATCAAAGTACTGATCTGTGCTCTTCTGTCTCACTATCTGCACTAATTGGGAGTCAGTTAAGTTTTTGAAACTGCTTTATTTTGTCAGTTTTTACTGGGAGGGCATCACTACTGTTGACTGGTTTTGAAATTCAGTAGGTCTATCTAATAACTTAGAGTAGACAGACAGTTTCCAAAAAAATTATTATAAAATTTCTCAGACCCCGACCACAAACAGCAGAGGCATTCATTCTCCATCAGTTAAAGATAAACAAAACTAACTTCTACAGTAGGTTGTAGTTAATCTGTTGGTGTATTTGGATTTTGAAGGGTCGGGGAAACTGCTATACAATGTTGTTATGATATGATATTGTGGCAACGATGTGTAAATACTTTCTCAGGGTACGGGTCTTGGAAACGAGCTGATTGGGGTGTCATCAATTCACATGAACAAGGGGAAGCTCTTGGCTAGCATTGCCACAATTTAAGCCTTCATGTCATTAAACTTCTAGACTTACCACAGACAATCAATAACGGGAAACGGATCGTCCCGATGATCCTCTATTGAAACTCTCACAGGTAAGGCATGGAAATCTGTGAAAATAAAGGCAAATATGGAACTGAATCATAAGGCAAATGGTTGTCCTTAATAACTTGTAAACAGCTGACTTTTTCACTGGGGCATTTCAGCTACAGAAGCTCTTTTGATTGCCTTGTAAATATAGCTGTGCTGGTGGTTCGAGTGGCTTCCATCCGAGTTCAGAGATACCACTTAAACTCAGTTGTGGAATGGAAAAAGGCCAATCGCATATTGAAGCAGAACGTGTACAGTCAGGCTAACATATAAAGGCATGGTTCAGTCAGGATAACTGGCTATGTAACGTTCACCTTCAGAAAAAACAAAAACAAGAACACATTCATGCATGAAACAATTTCTAATCCACCGCCGCTAGGTCAATATAAGCAAATGGAAGACATGGTTAACTTAAAGCCTGTGCAACTCTTACAGAAACTGAAATGAGAGCTTGTAATGCCGACGATAGAGTAACACAGCGCCTCACGACACACCTTGTTGGGACGATTTAGGGTGCCAAAGGTCAGAAATGAGACAAAACTCTGCTCTGCAGTCAGACAGGCCTTTGAGCGTGGTGTGTGTGTGTGTGTGGTGTAGGGGTCATTGCCTCACTGACTGTGAAGTCCAGCTTCCAGCTGGTGCTACCTGATAAAGCCTATCTGTCCCCCAACACACACACACACACATACACACGCGCGCGCGCACACGCGCACACACACACACACGGCCCTGTTTACCGCAGCGGGCTCGTGGCTGCGGCTCAGTCTGGTTCTGAGTGCACAGTCACACAGGGGGGGCTAAACCCCTTAGAGCCCTAACGGTGCTCCTGTCCCGTGACGGGCCCCTACGCATCACATCACTGCTCGCTGCAGCTGCATAACCAGACCAACAGCCTCCATCTCCGAACTGTCAGAGAAATACTGACGTGTGACTGCAGTTAGCTCGTGCAGGCAGTAAAAAGGATTAGCGTTGACGTTAAACCCACACAAGAGCGCAACGTTACAGGTTTGGTCTGATTCCGCCGGCTAACACATGACACTTTTAAGTTAATCATTTTACCATTAAATCGTAGAAACCTTAACTTAACGTATCGTGTCGGCGAGCAAGTTTATCAAATACCAAACCAAACAATGCTGAATCGTTTTAAGAGTTCGACCAAGCCGAACGCGCTGCAACACAACGTGAATAACGCACGTTAACGTTTAACTGAAGCCAGAGGAACGAGCGAGAGTAGAGACCAGTCAGTACGGTTAGCTAACGTCAGTTAACTTATGCCTGCAGGTTCGTCAGACAGGTTAAAAATAAATAAACCAACCAGTGTCATTGTGAAAAAAGTAACCAGCTGGCTAACGTCAACATTACTGATGCCCTTACTTCTTTTTGAGTCATTTAACGACACCATTGACCTATTAGATGTCTGCAGTTACCGCTAGCTAATATCAATAGTTAGCTAACGTCAGCTAACGTTAGCTAAATAGTTGACTTGCTAGCAGTAATTTAAGTCAGCACCGGTGCAACGTGGATATTTGAACGGGAAGCAGCCGACATAAACATTTTCTTGCAAACGGCATGTGTGTCGACCCCGCAGTGCTTGGCGCTGTGGCATACAGACCAGCCAGTGCGCTGGCTAGCTAACGTTAGCCGGTTAAGCTAGCGCTGCCTCTGTGTTTGTTGTTATGAGATGGAGGGCGGAACCCAAAACGGAGGCCTCTGTCAAAACACACCGAGGAGCGACCACAGCCGGCGGACTCACCAGCGAAAGCAGTGATGAGAAGTTGGAAGCCAAAGATTCACCCGAACCCCGTGCAATTGCTAAGCAGCAAATATACCTCGATCAAATAAGTATTAGTCATATCCGAGCCGAGGCCAGCTTCACTGCGTCCTCTTCCAGCACCGAGCCGTCGTCGCCATCGCCGCGAATTCTCCAGCCCAAGAACCTACGTGAGCGAGTGACGTCATGACGTCATCCCAATCCGTCTCGGGGAGGGAGGGGCTCAGACTCACATGCTCATGTAAACACTGTCCGAATAAGTCAATGTGAGAGTGAGGGTGTTTTGAAAATGTGGGGACTGCTGATAAAGCAATTAATTTGGGAAATACTAACCAGATAGTCACGGATAAATCATGTCTCATATAATATGTATTACAGCGGAGTTTTTTTTGAGTTTTTTTTTTTTTGTTAAGGGTTTTACCAAATAGTTTTTGCATTAATTTAATTGTATTCATTTGTAATGTGGGTGGCACTCCCGTTACTGCAAAGAAATAAGAACACAACACAGCAGGATCTTAAACAATTATGTATTGAATGATGGCTTACATATGCAAATTCAATTCAAAGAGGCTCGGCATACATTTGTCCATTCTTTAACATTTACTAGCCCGACACGTCAGGGCGTTAGACAGTGATTTAAGCCTGCAGGACACTTCTCTTTATTGACTCACAGCTGACTTTCAAATAAAACATTTTCTTCAGACAAATCAGATTTGTAAATATTGTTTCTATATTAACAACTCTTTCAACTTTTGTATAACCAATTCCTTTTATTTAGTGACTAATGTCAATTACAAAATAAAAAACATCCAATGTGTGGGGCTTTTGTTACTGGGTTACAAAAAGCGTTCCGCCCCACTTAAACCCTACCTTACCACACGGCATTATTCCTGTGAGGATAATGCATGAGGCATATGATATGGCACAAAATAATCTTGATTTCAGTATTTACCTGCAAGTAGTTATTGGGTTCTGATTGGACTGGATTCATTATGACTTTGTGAGAGCCAAATTGATCAGCTGCACCATGCATGGACTTCAATAATGTAAAAAGTGCTGATTTAATGTCCCTGTGCAAGAACAACAACACAAAACACAGTCCTATCCCTTGTAATGAGACCGGAATGGATTCGCATGCAAAATAATGAGATGAGCTTTACATGAAGAGAAAATGCATTTAAATACATTTCTTGTTCAGTCATATGTCCATGTTACCATGAAAGACAACGAAATCTCCACATTAGAAATGCCACCGCTAATCATACAGTATATTATGCACACAAAAAATGGTGGTACGAAAACCAGAGAAAAATCTTCTGTGGCTCCAAGAGAAAACCAAAACAGTATTTTAGAGAGCAAAGTCTACTGATCTCAAAAAATGCAACCCATTAGCCTCATCCTGATAGTTCCAATCTGCACTGCACTTTGACACTTCTGTGTAATGAATTACAAAACAGCAACAGCCATCCAACAGTCCACCACCTGCTGGGAAAGTTGCATTTCCTGTATACACACAACTTCCGTAGATCCATTTAATATTTAACGGAGTCATTCCCTACACCACATAATGTTTATCGTAGTCACCACTACTGATGAGCGCAACTGTTTCAGTAAAGCTTTAAAAAGCAAGACTACCCTGAGAGAAGGTCTAAAACGTGGGCAAGCTTGCCAGACCAGAACTGGCTTGAATGGGTTTGGTTTATTAAATCTGTACACTCTATTTCAATATAATCAGCACATTTTGTCTGCAGATTTTCTTTTTTTTTTAGTAATTGTGTAATATATATCTCTACATAATACAATCCAAGTCCTCTGAACTATGTAGACATGTGCAAGTGTTTTACTACCAACTTCAACAATACAGTAAAGGCAAAGACTTGTGGACACTAAGTTAGAATAATGTTGATATTTGAAATTTTTCTTGAGTCCCCACAATTATCAAAATCTAAGTGCTGTAAGTAGTTCATACACGAGGTATTGAATATCTAGTTAACTGTTCGGAGTATAAAATAGAGGCAAAATACATAAAGAACATTTTGCAAGCATGACAAAGAAACTTCTATAGACACGATACACCAGTGGTCAAAGATAATATGAGGGGATACCTGTAACCTTTTGTGTCCTTGGAAGTAGTCTACTTACAGATTGGATGTTTTCATGTTGACGGGAGGTCATACTGCATCATGCTCTCGGATAGATTTCGCCCACAGGGAGATCGATTCACAGCGGGCAAAGCTTTCATATCAAACTGGCCGGCTAGACATCATCTCAGTGTTTGATCAAGTCCGTATATTATAACTACACTAAATTACCCTTTTTGAGAAAGTGCACTCAATCAGGCGTTACCTGTGAGGAAGATCATAATACACACATATAACAGATTTATTAGCTCCCTATCTCTTCAAACAGCAGCGTTTTCTTTCTAAACGACAGATTTCACTCATTAAAACTATGTCCGAGGCATAATACAGAGTGCATTCCCTCTATGGATTCAAATAAGTGTGGGTCATGTTTATGTATAAGAATGAAACGCATGGTTATAGCATGATGTGCATCAACATAATCTGAGGTAAACCAGGTGTGTCTTGGCCTGTTACAGTCTGAGAACCAATGTCTTACAGGGTCAGAGAGGTAAGTCTGAAATAAATCATGTAAACTGTGCTCATGTGCAGTAAATGTTTCACTTACTACCGAAAGCACAAGGGCCCAAAACTGTAAACCTCAAGGATTATACAAAGGAAAAAAAAAACAAAAAAAACACTTGAAGTACTCTACTCTTTAGATTTAACGTTTCCTTTTTTCATATTTTTTGCAGGGTTTTCAACTTTTTTTTTTTGTCAGTTGTTTTTGCTCAAGTATAATCACAGGTGACTAACTACAAAGGGTAACAGGGTCAGGTGAGTACCATGCTACATCGGGTTTAGAGAAGGCTATTGCAGACAATTCTACAACATGTACAACCACATTTTATACGTGAGTTACAAATATTTCAAAACATATCACCAAGAAACTAGGTACATACAAGATGTTGAATATTTAGAGTCTTAAAGGACTATCCCTCAGTCAGTGTTAGGATTTCATGTTGCTTGACTTAAACTGTCCAGTTTAACAGACAAAATCTGAAAAATTGCTATTCAAAAAGTAGCAAATTTGGTCAATGTCTCTTTTCAAATAGTTATAGTGCTTTTAATGGCTTAAGACAGGGGTCTTTTTTTAATCTCACCCAGTGGCAATCAACAGAACTTCAGTGTACATTTTATGACACCATAGCTGCAAAAGTCTTTATGTCAAGTCCAATAGGTAAAACAACAGCTAGTGCTGTCACACGTACTTCAAAGTAGTATGCATTATCAAAAACAACAAAAAATAAAAACAAATACACAATTATAATTTTTTTTTCAACTCTTCAAGTTCTTGGAGGGAATTCAGTCATATGTTCTGTTCTGCGTTCCCGTTTCCTATGAGTTATCAGTCTTAGAGGACAGGCCCCCAGGAGCCAGGCCCCCGTTCTATTTGAGACCCTCCCATGTCCCTCTAGGGTCATCAGCACTAAACATGGCAAAAGGAGACTTAAAACTCCCATTCCAGTGTCTCTTCCCGATTGGCTGCTCTCTCTAGCCTGTGGATGATGTTATTGAGGTTGGCCATTTTCTCGTTGCGTCTCTGAGTGCTTCGGTTGAGTTTGGGGCTGTGGAAGGGAGGCAGCTGGCAAGGGTCCAGGCTGTGATTGGTGCTCGTTGAGGGCGGGTTGGGCAGCGAGGGCGATATGGGGGCCGAGGAGGAGGGGACGGGGGAGAACGACATCATGAGGCCGGGGGAAGATGCGGCGGAGGGGGAGTTGAGGGACACCTCCAGGCTGCCGCGGCAGGGCTCCGACGAAGCCTTGAAGCTGACGGGGTCCACGGGCGACTTCCCGGACTCTTCCCCCTCGTGCCTGGACTGGACGGTTCTCTGGGGGCCGAGCCCCTGAGCCAGGCTGCTCACCCCCTCTTCCTGCCTCAGGCCCTGGCCGGCCGAGAGGGGCTCGCGAGAATCCTCGCTTTTCAACTGGGGGAACTGCACCGCCATGGAGAAGCACTGGACCCTCGACTGCTTAACGGAGTCCCCGTCTCCCTCCCCCCTCTCGTCCTCCCTGTCCGTCGCCTCCTGTTTGACGTGAGGGAGTGCGGCGTTGACGCTGAGGCGAAGGCTGGAGTGGATGTGTCCTGAGAGCTGCTGCAGCCTCCGCTCCTCTCCGTCCGAGCGGGGGCTCCGCGTCGCGGAGGGGGAGTAGCTGTGGTGCTCGGCGTCCGTGTCATTGTCCAGCAGACCCTCCATCAGCACCTCCCGCCGCATCCTGGACCTGCGCGCAAACACAGCTGTTAGACAGGCAGGCATTACTACTCGTGTGCAGCTGCGGGCTGAAAGCGAACGATCAGCGGTGATGAAAACAAAAGCCACAAGCAAACATGAAAGCTCATCGGACTGGCCTGTAGTTGTGGAACCAGTTGATGACCGTGTTCGTTTTGAGTTTGAGCTGGGAGGCCAGTATCTCGATGGTGTTTTGAGAGGGGTAGGGCTCCGAGAGGTAGGCCTTCCTCAGGGCTTCTTTCTCCTCGGCCCCCAGCACCACCCGAGGCTTCTTGGCCTGGCTGTAGGGGCACAGGTCCAGCGACGCCAACGCCGGACTCACACACTCGGACCGAGTGCCGGGCGAGTCGCTGTCCGAGCCGGTGCTCAGCAGCCCGTACCGCCGTTTCAGATAGGCTGGAAGGGAAGACGGTGAGATTATGTGTGATGGGATTACAAAACACCAACACTTTCTCACTCTGGCGGTACAATATGTTTTAGTGAACATTCTGGGTTCCCACCTTTCTTCTCCATCTTTTTCATGGCCCTCAGCTTGTCTACGTTGTGGGGATCGTTGAGCCACAGCTGCATGCGGACAAACGGCTCGCGGCCTTTCAGGCTGAGTTTGTGCCAGGGTTTGGGCCTGGAGAGCAGGTCAGACACCGAGCCCTGCGTCAGGCCCAGGATGGTCTCCCCGAAAAGACGCTGGCCTGCGGGAATCAAACACACGCGGCAAAATGACGGACTTGCGTCTGATTTCACGCGCGGCGCCGGCTTAACCTCGCGGCGGGAGCGACGGCCCACCTAGGTTGTTGTCCGTTAGCACCTCCTTGACCTTCTTG